CCTCACTACCACCACACACGCCCACACTCCCCATTCCTCACCTGCCAGTATTTACTAGTCATCGCTCATCCTCGTAGGTTTAGTCATCAGAGTTAGTATAAATACCGGCTATGAGTATTTAAAGTACTAAAGGACATAACTAACTGAACCCGGTTATTTACGTGTAATAGTGAAGACAAGCCCGTTTCTTCACTAATTCGAATAAGAAGTGCTTGTTAAGATGAATTTCTCTAATGGATGCTTCCGTTTCTATTGTAGTGCTGCTGCCATTACTGTTGAGGTGCTACCGTTACTATCCAGGTGCCGCCACTGTTACCAACCAAAGTGTCTTGCCCCTGTTACTTTCACCATATCTTTTATCAGTTCATCAACAACATTCTTCTAGCAGTGTTTTGCCACCGTCTGTCTGTCTGTCTGTAGGGTGGTGTTCGTACCCAATATCTAGATTTTTGTGACTGGACTTAACCACCCTGAGTGATGGCCGGGCGTCTCAAGTTACCATTGTGCTGTAGTGTGTCATGCTACACCGCCCGGGCTACCTGCCACTCCACAGTAACTTATCATAAATAATACGAACGAAAATACAATCACTCTTGTATGACGCACGTAAGTACACAACCATATACCCCCGCCTCCAGCTCAGGCACGCAAGCCTTGTACGGACGTGTTTATTTTTATAATTAGTCTTCCTCCTCACATGACTTTGAATTACTAATATTTTTGTTCATTAAGAATCATACTGTATTACTAAGTAGATGGGGCTGGTTTAAGGGTGTTGTCACTTAAATAAATTAAGAATCAGACTTTCCAAACTACTCCTGTGTTTCACAACTTCATTTTATTTAGTTGGTTCGGCCTTGAGGTTTGTCTCCACTCACACTTTCATACGCAATTATTCTCCACTTATCGGATACTCGCTTAACCAATTTATCATTAATTTAAGAAATACGTCATGTTATCTCGTCAGTATTTTGTGTAACATTCATGGCAGGTTTCCTCCACTTTTCTTGAGTTATAATATTTATTGTTACTATAAACAACCGTGTCTCACGTGTACATAATCTGTACACGCTCCTCCCTCAGAGGGAACATTGTGTGATGCTAAAGTAGACGGAAAGAGCGTCCACTCCGCCCTTTCCACCTGACGCCAGGTAGTCTGCGAGCAGTGTCTTGCCAGGGATCAATACCTCCATGAAGTGACCTCTTTTTCCAGTGTTGACTGACCTCGCTAGCCTAGTTAACTTGGGTTATCATGGTGATTGCCGGATCTCACCCACTAACCCCAATTCCTGCCTCAAGAAAATTCACATAAACCTTAATTTAGTGTTTCTGTGTAACAGTGCCCCACAATTGCCATGAAGGATATACTTTTGAACATTGGAGGTGCTTGTAGATTTTCCTCCGAACAATCTGGGTTGTTTGGTTATCCAATTGTTTTCATACATTTCAGATAGTTTATCAGTAATATGTGTAGCAGGAAGACCAATTTATTAATTTTCCTGTCTCATGCGTTAACGTCTCTAATTTCGTACTTTGAAAACGTGGAAGTTGTATAATAGGTGTTTTTTTTATTCAATCTGTAATTCACGCGAAACAGATTGGATTGGAATTGGTTGTGAAATGTTCAAATTTAGGAATGTGATGGTGGATATGTTAGTGATGGTGAGGCGCGGTCATTAAAGAGTAGAAAATTTATATTTAACCTTCAGAAAAATACAGGAAGAAAGCTGGTTGTGGCACTTGTGGCATGGAGCACATAACTATACATAAATAAACAATAAATATTCGTTGAGATTTTACTTGTATTTTTTAATATACAATTGGCGAGGGAATTTTACGAGAGCAGTAGTGCGTGCCGACCACTGGCGCTACGACAGGAAGTACGCAGATTACACAGGAGCTCATTACCATAATGGTTATCCTTTGTTCCCACTGTTGTGCTGCAACCATCTTCGCCGCTCTCTCTGCTTGAATCATTATTCAACGGGTCCGACTAATTACCCAAATGTAGCCGCAATGAAGTCAAATAATGATCCTACATGAATAAATCGGGTTACCAATCACTTCTCGACTAGTATTTGGTGTCACAAAGTAAAAAAAAAACAATTGGAAAACGTAATTTAATTTGAGTTAATAGATCAAGTGCATATACCTAACCTAACCTAACCTCGACTAGTATTTGGTGTCACGAAGTCACAAAAAATTGGTAAACTTAATTTAATCTGAGTTAATAGATCAAGTGCATGTACCTAACCTAACACAACACAACTCAGATTAAATTAAGTTTACCAATTTTTTGTGACTTTGACACCAAATAATAATCGAGAAGTGATTCACAGCCCGATTTACGCTTGTACGACCATCATTTGACTTCATTGCGGCTACATTTGGCTACATTTGGGTAATTACTCGCTCCCCCTGTGCATGCACGCGATCTATTAACTCAGATTAAAGTAAGTTTTCCAATTTTTTGTGACTTTGTGACACCAAATACTAGTCGAGAAGTGATTAGCAGTCCGATTTATTCATGTAGGACTATTATTTGACTTCATTGCGGCTACATTTTGCTACATTTGGGTAATTAGTCGGACCGTTATTATAACAACCCCTTGCGTACGAATCTAGCCCCCTGAGTGAACTTCCTTAACGCTTGACTGCCTGGAGTACGATATCCTGTTCCCTGGAGTAATATATTATTATACAGGTATAACAAGCTCGATAATCATCGTACTCAAAAGAGTTCGAGTCTCCACAATTTAGATTTTGTAAATCACCCGTCTATTTACTTAAATTCCATCCATTTAAAGAAAGGGCTGATACTTAAACTGGTATAAATGTTAAATAAGTGATAACATCAGAAAAATAATAGCGCTTAGTGGAATGCCAGTGATAAATGCTGAGGGGTTGGAAAGGGGCGGGGTACCATGTTTATCTGCCTGTGGTATAGTTGTTTTTTTTTTTTTGGCGTCGGATAATACTGTAATAATTAGCATGTTAACGGTGGAGTATTTGAGACAGGCTGTATATCCATCACTACCGCCTTTTAGCAACAACCTTCACACAACGGTTTTTCTCCTAGCTTAGACTGTCTTTAACGTTCTAGCCCGTCAACTAGCTTGTCTTAGTCATAATTTTTAAGCTGCCTGGTGATATTGTACATGTTTCGCAATTAGGAAGCGACTGGGTGATGGCTAGCTGATATACTTGGACAAGAGGCTGACTAATGTAATTTTTATAGCCATTCTAGTCCTACAAAAACTTTCATACGTTACTACATTACATGGCCAGCTGCCTGCCACTCACTAGTTATTCTTGTCACGCTCACATACAGCAAGTAATGGCTGGCGGACGCTATTTAAGGTGATGTTTTTATCACCTGTGTCATCACTGATTTTCAATTACATATTTGATGATGAACAATATAGTAGTGTATTTGTAGTCCTTGCAAGTTATATAACTTAGGTAAGTTGCGAGTCACTGTCAGTCGTGTTTGGTGGGAATTTGGCTCCTATGATTTGTTTAAAAAATTATGATTACTACTTGTTCAGAACCGGAGTGATGTGTGAAACATGTGGGAAGTGCCACTGACCCCCCTACCCCATCACACTCAGTTGTTGTAGTAATTTTCCGAGTTACTTGTTACCGGAGATATGGCCTTGAGAAAGTATGATTACCTTGTAATATGGCACTGCTGTAAATGTATTATCGTTTACGTTATTAGGGTGAATTCTAGTTAGTGTTGTGTGTGGTACTGGGGGAGGCAGCATTTATTGTTCATCCTGTGACGGCTTTTATCTTCGTTATCGGCATTGTTTGCGCTGTAGTCAACCCTCCCCTCCACGCTGACAGCTAACAAACAATCCTCGCTCCATTAGGTCAAAACTGAGACGTTCTGTATTCAGTGATATGATTCAGTAAATTAGTTTGTGGATTACCTGAAGATCAAATACCCCAACTTCATTTCACCTGAAGATTACCCGTAACCACCCCAATGCTAACCTGACATGGCTTCACTTAATTTACTCTTTCCCAGTTACAATTCATTTCCATTGCTTCTGTTCTCCTCTCTTCTCCCATCTATTGGCTTCTGTTCCTCTCTTTTCTTCTATGTTCTTGACTATTGCTTGTATTCTCTTTTCTAATCATTTTTTTACTACAGTATTTGTATTCTGTAACTTCCTTTTCTTCTATTTGTAGTACTGAATACATCTTTTTCTTTTTTCATTTCTTTCTTATTATCTCTTGTTTTTTATGTAGTTCTATTTGATTTGTTCTGAAACCTTATACAGTACAGTATATGTAATTATTTTCTTTCTGTGTTTGTTAGTATTTTAAAGTTCTGTTTGCTTTTATTCGTCTTTATGTCTCATGCATTCTTACCTTTTTCTCTTGGTTCTATTGTCTGTCCTCTCGTAAATACCTTTTCTCTACTGTCATTTCTCTTCTATTTTTGGCTGGTTGCTTGGCCACAGATACTGTACTGTACTTATTGTGTTGTTGAGTGTACACGAACTGATGGTACTGTAAATAGAGTACAGTTATGTAGTGTTTATGATCATCCTACTGTATGCTGTATTTATAATCGCCGTTCTCTCCTTGACTTGCCTTGTATAATTAACATAAGTGTGTTGGTCTCGAAATCCTGACCAAAACACCTTGTGCCGTACTGTATTGTGTTTCTTATTACACCCCCTCCCCCCCCCTTTCCCAGTTGCTGCTGCCTTTGCCTTTTTTTTTACAACGAAGCAATGCGATTAAGATGAATGGTGTCCAGCATTAGTCCAGATTTGTGTGTGCATGGAGACTAAAACTTGTAAACTTGATATCTCCTCTTGTGTGTTTGAGCAGCCTGGCCCTGTAGGCTCTTTTAAAATGTCCAGAACATTAAAAATGGCAATTATGTTGTGATACATAGTGGTGTTGATAATCTTTTACTGGTGTAATTCATTCCTTGCCATTTAGTAAATTAGTGTTTATTTTTAAAATTCTTTACCCCACAGAAGCTGTTGATGGTTCTCGGAGAAGCCTACGGAGCCTCAGCTTAGAAAACAACCTTTCTGAGGTAACCAATGTGAGGGTTTTTTTTTTTACCTGTTGTTTATTTACACACAGCATATATGATATATCATTTTTTTATGCTATTATATTTAATTTTATGTTTTAGGTCTGATATTTGTTGAAACTTTACCTAATAAATGTTGCTGTTTAACCATACGTTGGTGCTGTTATTCAGCAAGGGTAAAAATTGTGACCTCATCTCCCTTGAATTCATTGGTACCTGTAGTGTTGATTTCCAAGTTAATAAGACAATCAGTGATTGTTAAGAGCCACAGGAATGGAAAACCCTTCACTTTTTATGTCATTTCACTTTTCACTAGTGTTTTTATTTAATGTACTGTACTGATGAGGTTCCTCTAAAATCTTTCCATACCAAATTTGAAGAGCTTTTATATGGCAGTTTTTGAGATAGGATGATTTAAAATTTTGCATATCGTGGTCATTGTGGCTTTGACCTGTAACCCAAAGGGTTCTCCACAGTTAATCCCTTTGCAGACTTGGACTTTTGATAAATGTAAACATGTTTTTTTTTTATCTGATTTTTTGTAAAAAAAATCTGTCAACTTTGATGTAATTTTTCTGGAGAAATATGTCCAAGAAAAACAAAAAAAAATGCCCATTTAATGTGCCTTTCATTGAGGAATCTACAGTAGTACATCAACTCCTGTCTTTGATGATTAGTTTTGGAGTTACTGCAACAAATTAAATTTTGGGCTTTTGATGACCATGACTTTGACCTCCCCCAAAAGTTAATTGCTGACTATATGCTCAATAGGATTCATCCATGATGTTTGGTTTGATTTGGTGTAGGTATGACTGAGATACTTTATTACATTATAGCTGATGGTGTGGAAACAGTCATACACACAGCCAGATTTATTAAAATATAAATATATGTAGCAGTAATAGAATGGATCAAGGTTGCTCTACCCCCTTGACCAATTTACCTTAGTTCATTGGTCTTGTGGGTATTCATTTGTTTATTACCAAATGATTAAGACAACTTGTGTATGAGTTGCTGTAAGTTGCAAGATAACTTTATTCTCATAACTTGAAACTTAAAATTTATTTACATTGTTTATCTTAGAATTCTTGTATCAATGCATCATATTACTAGCATAGCATTAACATCATGTTATCTTAGAATTCTGGTATCAGTGCATTATATTATTAGTACAGTACTGTAGTATTAAATATGTCCCTGTGTACCTTATTTCTAAGGCTTTTTGTTAACCAGGAATGATTATGCTAAGACAGATCTCTCAGAATAATTCACTTTTAGGTTCAGTAATTTACTTAATGATACTGGAATCTGCTGGTATAGCAGTACAGGTACAGTAGTAAGTTTTTTTTTAGTACTGTATACTTGAATGAAAGAAATTTATTAATGATAACTGTCTTTTCAGGTAGGAGAGAGTGTAGTAACCACTCCAGTAAGACCTCTAAAGCTTCAACCATTCACTGACCCAGGGTCTTTAAGAGACACGTCAATAACAGATGTCAGTTATAAGGCTCCATCTTACTTGGGTATATCTTGTGCTGTTAACGGCTACAGTAGACTTAATAGGTAAGACTTTAAATACCTCCAAGGAGATCATGATAGAATAAGTACAGTACAGTATTGCATTTGTACTTTTGCATATTGAATTTAGTCATAAGCTTATTTTCATACATTCTCTAAGCCATGGTTTAGACAAAAGGCTTTATCTTGTTGTAATTAATTTTGATTATGATTTGGTAGTACTAGTAAAAGATTCCTTTGTTTCTCTAGAAATGGAATGAGAAATTTTAAAGATTGCTTTTTGTAGGTACGACTCTTCACTACGGGATGGTTTTCGCTCGAGAGATGCTAGCCCAGCTCGATTAGCATTCAGCAGAAGTAGAGATTCTAGTCCTATGCGGCCAGAGTGGAAAGTATTTGATCTTCACACAAAGGTAATAGATGGAAAGGGTTATGCATAGTGCATACACAGCTATATCTATTAGCATTTGGTATCTGGAGGAAATACAGATGCATTATAAGGATGAAATCTACACAAACAAAAGAAAGATTTAAGGTTATTGAAATTTTTGTCGGATCAGAAAGGATCAGATAATGGGAAAGTGCTGAAGAAGATTGATTTGAGAGGTTCAGCTGAGTTTTCTTGCTTTGTTTAAAAGAATAATTTATGCAGAGTTTGTAGGTACAGTGAAAGTTTCGCATACAATGCAGAAGTCTACTCTGAGAGAATTAATGCTTGACTGCAGGCAACTTGGCATGATGGAGTACTGAATTCACTGATTGGCATGTGGAGTAGTGGAAATTTGAATTGTTTGTACTTGACACTTTGCTCCCAAGTGTTATTGTTTAAAGGATAAAGTTAAGTGTAATTAAATTTTCATTTTGAATAGAAAATAAAGGAGTGATCCTAAAAACTCCTTTTAAACTTGAGCCATGAACTTGGTGACCTGTGATTTATTGCCATGATTCCAGTTTTGTAATTCCAGGTTTAACACTATGAACATATAAACTGGGACTGATTCATGTTCTTAAAAAGCTCCCAATTCACCATTTGAAGTAGGAAGTAGTGAGTTACAAAATCCACACCTACAAACATTGCATTGTGACCTTTACTTGGCTCAGCCATAGTGGTAATGTCAAGCATCAAGGTCTTTAGAGCTAGTTGACTTCTATGCTATCTAACAAGGAGGTGGTACTGTATCTGTATTGCTTGATTCTGGGCTCAGCCATCCCAGGAATTTAAAGGATTCAGAGCTCTTCTATCATCGTATCAACTTATTCCTCAATAGTGCATCTTCCCTGATTATGGGAAAGCATGTTGAAATCTAAAAAAAAAAGTACAAGAACTTGTATAGGTGCTCCTATTTTTAATATTAGATTACTGTTTGGGAGAATACAGAATTACCCCTCAAAATGAGATTTACAAACTTACTTAATCCCAAAGTGATAAATAGTGCATCCCCCATCCATAATTAAAATACAACTGTATTCTGTAGCTCTTCCTTTAATGTAATTTCAGAACATGTCAGTGAATTTCTTTGAAAAAACCCTGGTCCAACCCCTGGTTTAGTCTGGAAATAACAGTTCAACAAAATGGACTGGATTATTCACAGGCAAAATCAGTTTTTAACTTGACCTAGAGCAGGTGATGTCAGTTCCCTAAACAAACACATTGGCTGGATCCCAGTTAGGTTATTGGCTAATTTGTACACCTCTTGCTTTGAAATATAAACAAAGCCAATCTCATTTAGTAAGTGAGCACTGTGAACTGCCTACATCATCCAGACTTCACTCATGCAGAAAATAGCTACAAAAGTACTTGCCTCAGTTCACAAGTGTTGATGCAAATTGCAGTACTGGAAATGCAGTTCATGAATAAGTTTTTGTTTATGATATATTGGGCATTAGCCTGGGTGTACAACTCGCTTTTAGCTGCAATTCAGGAGTTGCCTAGTTGAGGGGGCTGGTCATAAAATGTTTATTGCACCACTAAATGTGCTGATTATATGCCTTTTCCACTCTTCTTGTTTTATTCATATGTAGTTAATTTCTCTTAATTAATCAAGTAAAAAGGTTTAAAGTTATCAGTTTGTCATGTTTTCTCCATCCAATACATTATAGATTAGATATTGCAGAATTCTCAGCAAAGCATTTCACTTGCCAATAGATCTTGATTATCAAGAATCTCCAAAGCAGTACAGTATTTCAACAACAAATTTTTTAAATTTCATTGAAGTGATCAGCTTACCCATTGTTTACCAGTTACCAATTAAAAGAAATAAGAATTTGAAAGTTGTGCGAGGGGTGTGTGGTATGAAAAATGAACCAGAATTTGCTTGAAAAAGTCAGTACGAGTCCCTCTTCTGTTAGGGGGATAGTGGGGACGTAAGGCATGAGGGGAACGAATGAGAGTTAAAACGAGTACAGTATATGCAAGGCATATAGAATTAAATAAGTTTTATAAACTAAGGAAAAATTAAGGAATTACTGGAGTTTTTTATTTAAGACAGTAGGGAGTTTGAAAGTGTGATGGACTGTAAGATCTTAGCTAAAATTTTAATGTAGCCATTAAAACTGGCCTTTGCTGAGAAATTGGAGAGAGTAGACTTTCCTAGTTGTCATTCCTTTGGCCAAAAAAGACAAAAGAAACTTTAAAGTTAGGGGTGTTGGTGGTACAGCTGTGACGTGTACCACTATGTCAAGGGTTTGAACCTGGACACACGTGAGAAGAATGTTATCCAATGTGACCCTACCACTCATTGCAGGTTTTCCGGCCTCCTGTTAACTCCTTTTCTAACACTGACTAGACCAACTGCCCGAATGGCTAGTAAGGTGAAAGTGGAGAAAAATTATTAAAAAAAAAAAAAATATTTACAACTTTTTTGTTTTCACTATTGTTTTTAAATCTTAACCTTCATTTCACAGCTTGTTACTGTAATAATGTCGATGTAATAACCATCTATGTAAATGACTAATAACTTTTCTTTCCTTCAGGCTTCACCACAAGCTACAGCTGCAAAAATTAGGGAATTAAAGGAGGAATTAGCTCGTTTCAAAGCAGAATTCCCTCATCCTCCAGGAGAACGAGGTCGTCAAAGTTCATCTAGAAAACTTGGAAGAAGGCCTTCACAAGGTCGTAGTGTCAGTGTAGATAGAGGTTACCTGGTGAAATCTGGATCTAGAGAAAAAATGAATGGCCTTGAGAAAGACATGTCCACTCAGGGTGCCCAGCGTGTACGTCTCGTAGAAATAAATATGACCGATTCACAATCTGTAAAATCTTCTAGCTACCAGTACTCATTTGAACAGAGTATTGTAAGAGGTGGTTTAAGTGATACAAGTGACAGTATACTCTGTTCCGCTCACTCCAATGGTGACTCTCCAGACACAAAATCTTTTATTCAGTCTCGAATTGAGCGGCTGTATGGACCTAGTGCCCTTGGAGCAGGATTTCGTAGTCGTCGTTCTTTGTTAGAGTTAGAAAAAGAGCAGAAGGATAGGGAGTCTGGAGTGTTTCGGAGTCCTGTGTTACCTTCACAGGTAGACAACCTCTATGAACCAGAAGCAAAGGCTCCAGAAGGATTCCCCAGTGTATTTAGGCATTTGCGTCCTGAGTTCAGAACCCAGCTGCAAGTGAAGCGTAGCAATAGATTAAAACCAGGAATATCCTTGGAATTGCCTTCAATAAATAACACCAGTGATATTAATTCTCCAAAGAGACCTGGAAGAGTTATACCAATTATCTTAACAGATACATTTGAGAAAAACACCCAGAAACCTCCAGTTCCTCAACCTAAACCAGAGGTACCCATTACTAATGAAGCCAGTAGAGAAAACAAAGTTCTTAATAGGGACAGCAAACCAGTTGTGCAGAAGATAATTAATGGTAATGGAAATATTAAAGAAACTGATGCCACATTGGAGAAAGAGACATGTGTAAATGGAAGTGCAATAGAAGATAAAGTTAGTGTTAAGGAAGAGCAAGAATCAACAAAGAGAACTAGTAATGTAAATGGTGTGTCAGACTCAGTGAATTTAAATGGAAATTTTAATAAAACCTCTGAAGAAGAAGAAAAAGATGGTCACTATTTTTTGAAGGTAAGTTTTAACTTTACACATGGCTATAACAGCTCAGTGATCTGAGGAATTGATTCTTAGGTTTAATGCTGTATATCTGTATGTTCATATACCTGTTCAGTATTTATATTTATGCAAAACCAACTTTTTATGTTGATGATAGGAAAGTTAAAATATCAATAAAGAAATATAAAGTAAAAAGAGAACTGCAAATTTTTGGATGAACACCCGAGTAGCATTTTAACTTTTTTGAGTCCAAATTTTTTTTCAGCTCAAATAAAGATTTTCACAGTAAACCACCAATTTCTCAGTTTAATTGGGGGAATTGGAATCTGAAAAAATGCATTTTCCAATAAATTTTAATATTTTTCTCTGCTTTCAAGTGTTTATATTTACATTAGTGTTTGTTTATTTTGTACGGTGGGGTATGCTATAACGAACGTAATTGGTTCCAGAACCTCGTTCGTTATAGGATTAATCCGTTCCAGGCCCCCAAATACTACCAATTAACACTGAAAAAATTCTGTGGAAAATGTAAAAAATACGGTACTTTATCTCCTTAGTGTTGTTCAGCATGCAGGACAGGAGGCAGAGGGGGAGGGGGGAGGAGAGAATTATTGAGAAGAGGTGGAAGGAGAGGAGTCATCCTTCCTAGCCCTCTTTGGTGACTGTCTCACAGGCACTTTGTCTGTAGGTTCTTTTGTTTCCTTTGTAAAGAAGGAATCCAGGGTTGGCTGCTTCAACCTTGATTTCTGGACCTTCCAAAAGTAGTTCATAACATTGTCATTGAACACACTGATGGCCTTTTGCACAGAACCAACATCAGGATGATAATCCTCAGCAAGCTTGGACAGTTTACTCCAGCAAAAGAACGCATCCTTGAGATCTTTGGCTGGAATGATGCAGCTTTCCTCCTTGTCCTCCTCCTCCCCTGACTCCTCAGAAGTTAAGCTCCGCTTCAGTGTCTCGTTTTCCTCTTTGTGAAGCTCAAGCAGCTCCTCAGTGGACAGTTCCTTACTGTGATCTTCCACCAACTCCTCAACATCATCATCATCATCCACTTCCAGGCCCATGGAATTGCCCAGAGCCACAATTTCATGAACAACAGCCTCTTCTAACTCTTCGAAGCCTTCAAAGTCTCTTTGAAGGACACATTCAGGCCACAATGGCCTCCAAGCAGCACAAAGACACCTCACATTAACCTCTTTCCAGGCTGTGGTAATTAAAAATACAGCATCTGCTATATTGAAGTGACTCTTCCAAAATTCCTTCAAGCTAACATCACTGGAAGAAGTGGACGCAAAACATTTTCTAAACAGTGCCTTTGTGTACAGCTTCTTAGAGTTAGAAATTACCTGTTGATCCATGGGCTGGATGAGAGGTGTTGTGTTGGGTGGCAAGAAGTGCACAGTGATGAAGTTCAACTCCTCTGGCAATTCAACCATCAAATTAGGAGGGTGGGCTGGTGCTTTGTCCATCACCAACAAAGCTTTCAGTGGAAGATTATTCTCCCTGAGGTATTCCCGAACACTGGGTCCAAACACCTCAATCACCCACTCGGAGAATAAATTCCTGGTTACCCAAGCCTTTGGGTTTGACCGCCACATAACACCAAGGCGGGTCTACCTAGTGTTTTTTAAAGCTCTGGGGTTTTCTGCATGGTACACAAGGAGTGGCTTTATTTTGCAGTCACCAGAAGCATTAGCACAAAGAAAGAGGGTAAGCCTGTCTTTCATTGGCTTATGGCCAGGGGCAGAAGTTTCCTCCTTGGTAATGTATGTACGGCGAGGCATTTTTTTCCAAAAAAGTCCAGTTTCATCACAGTTGAATACCTGCTGAGAAACAAAGCCTCCCTCTTTAATAATATTCAAAAAAATGTCATGGTGTTCCTTAGCTGCTTCCTTATCTGCACTAGCAGCATCACCATGTCTCACAACACTATGTATTTTATTTCTCCTTCTGAAACCAGTAAACCACCCCTTGGTACCCATAAACACTGGCACATCACTATCACTTGCACTGGGAGTCTTGGCTTTAAGGTCCTCAAACAATTGTCTGGCCTTCTCACAAATTATAGCTTCACTAATGCTATCACCTGCCATTTCTTTCTCCTTTATCCACACTAAGAGTAAATTTTCCATCTCCTCAATCACATTACACCTTGCTTTGCTAAGTCTGGAGATTCCCTTAGCCACTTGCACTGTTTTCAACTCCTCTTTATTCTTTAAAATCGTACATAAAGTCGATTTAGCCATCCCATACTCATCACTAAGTTTCGCAATGCTTGTTCCATCCTCACCTTTCTTTATGATTTCTTTTTTATTTTCAAGAGTTATGAGCTTTATCACTCGCTTTGGACGATTCATTGTCACAATTGTACACTTGTATAACAAAATATTTATACAAAACTCTCTTTCCACACCAAAAGACGAAATTTCAACAATAACAGTGGTGCACTGGCTACACAATGAGACAAAGATGGCGCCTGACGCTCTTGTTGTGGGTCGCGGTACAACTATATTCATGCGCCAGGCGAAATAGTCCGGTATTCATCTGCGTTCGTTGTAGGAGTTGCGTTCGTTATAGCATTCTCAATTTTATAGGTAAAACCGTTCGTTATAGGAATATTCGTAGTAGGATCCGTTCGTTATAGCATACCCCACTGTACTTTTCTTAGTTGGGTTTATAAGAACATGAAAGGCATTAATTTTAAGAGACATGGTTAAACAACTTAACCTTGAAGTAAAATGTTTGAAAATTCATAGGTTATTTAATCTTTACACAAATTTTTATTGTATACATACAGTAATTTCTGAGTAGTTCTCACAGAATTCCAAGGTATTGATGTCTAGACTATTAAGGACTTCCTGTATTTAAGTAACTTCTTCTTTTTTTTTTTTTTTTTTTTTTTTTTTGAGAAATTTATAGGTATAAAATTGATGATTCCTTCAACATCTTACATAGATTTTTTGGAAGATGGGATTTTGCCAGTCATTCTGTAACCTACCGGTATGTAACCAGGACATTCTTCTTTGGACGAATTACTATTAAGAAATACCTATATACAGTACAGTTTATACTGTGTGTGTTTAGAGTTGGGGAGGGGTGATTGGTTCCCAGTGGAGGTAGGCCTACATGAAGGATATGTAATGTCACTATAGTTAAGTATTTTTGAGGATGGAGTACATATTGATGTGAAAGTAAGGCAAAAGAGATTGAGGCAAGCTTGGTAAATTGGAATACTGAATGTAAATGGGTTGAAAGTCATCCATTGTTTATTGACTCCTGCACTACTAATGAAAGGTGGTGCTTCATTTCTTAGGTCAAGTTTATGATACAATGCAGTATACGTGTATATGGTTTTGTCTATATATGTTGTACTGTGGTTTATTATATCTTTGCCAATGAATCCCCTCGCCATGCTTCAACTCTAGAAATGAATCAAGATTTCCTCAACATACTGTACAGCATATCAAAATGGTACATATTTTAGGTCACTGAATAGTAGAGACTGCTCATGTTAAGTCTGTGAATGTTGAGGTCCACATGTATACAGTAGCTAATGTGTTGAAATATTGGGTTTTTGCATGTCTGGATTGACATAAGACTTTACTTGGAATTCTCTGGAGAATATATTCAAACAAAAATAACCAACATAATGAACAAATGTGTGCTTGTTGATGAGGCTGGACACCTAAGTGTAAAACAGATAGAGAAAAGGGTTTTTCAGGTACTCTATAGATTTAAATTTGAATATCTCAACATCTTCTCTTGTGGATTTGTATTTGAATAAATTATCTATACTGTATTTTTAATACAAACAATCTAGAGTACAGTATAAATGAATATTACATTACATTAGCTTAGTATTGGAGCTGTACACATGTATATCTGATGAATGCAAATGGTAAGGTTACTAAATTCAGTACAGTACTGTAGTGATGTCGATAAAATTATTTTGATGTATTATCTGGTGGGGTTGAATTGGACAAAATTATTAGCATACACATTACAGTAATTTATATATTTAGCACAAATGAGTTGAAGGGGACATTAAAATATTGTAATTAGTTTTGCTTGTATGTTTTCTAGGAAGTTTGAATGGAACAAATACAGTATACTGTACAGGTATGCAAATACAGTATTGTTTTGTATAAATTGTCTTATTTTCTCAATTAGAATACTGGAGACATTGTCATACAAGATAATATTGTATTGTATTATGGTCAGCTACATAGATGCTCAGGGGATGCAGTTTAGTGTCACAATATTTTTTTCGTTAGGATTGGTAAGGAATCTTCATTTTTTTTGGAGATCCAACAAGTTTTCTCCTTGGCTGTTTGTTCTGAAAGAAAATTTGTTCCTTGTGGGTGGGGAAACCACAGGGAAGTTTAGCAGTGTTCTTTGTTATTCATCCGTTTGGAAGACTGACTTAGAGATGTTGACACTCAGTTACAGTCCTCAGGATATACATGTAAATACATTTATTTTTTAGGACTAATTGGACATAGTTATTGTGTAAGATAGGATACTGCCTTCACGAGATGTAGTATTTTCTTGAATTCATTGAGAGCAGGGCTATCGGACCCATATCCAGGCAACTCGGGTACCCTCATTTCTCCTATAGGGTTCATAGCTTAGCTGGAACCGAATTCAAAACAGTGGATTGGCCTGAAACAAAAAGATGGCCAAGCCATAGCTGTGGAGTGAAGTGTAATGATTGTTCAGCCAGATGCAGCTTTAAGTAGATCTCCTTTTTGCCCAAAATGGGTTAATTTATAAACCCAGGTCAGCATGAAGAGGGTTGTCTGATAATGTGGAGCCTTCAGTAAGCAGCAAATATTATGAAAACTATACTGTACCTGGATTTTGGCTCCACTAAAATAGGGGATTTCAGGATCAATCCACTTTTGAATTGAGTCTTGTAAGGTTAACCTTTTGAAGGACTTTGTTGTGATGGTATTAGTCCTCTGGAGTAGCCACTTTATTCATGGAATGGGTTTCTTAGGAAACAGATGTTTTACTTTCTGCCCATTTCCAAATTACTACAGGATCCCTTTTAGAGCCAGCAGAAATTTATTTACTGTTGGAAGAGATGGTTTTCTGTCCTCTTTCTCAGTTTTATAGAATTAACTGGTGTAGGTTAATTTTGGATTTGGTAAGGATTCACTTGGGGTTCTTTGTTGTGGAACTACAGTACTGTGTTAGTTCAATGGTGGTTTTCATATCTACATATAGGGCAACAGTTCAAGATCTCTTAGTAGGTATTAGGCTGGTTCATGGAATCATAGGAATTACTTCTCCCAGCCCTTTTTTTATGGACGGTGTAATGTCCATATTTTTTAGGGGCCCTGGAACTTAAAAATTTACATTTTTGTCCTGGTTCCAGGATAATGCCTAAAAACTGTATTGTGAAGGAGAGTTGACAGGTCACCATTTAGTTAGTACTCTATTGTTCCTGTATTGCAAGGTTTAGTTAGCATTCCCAAGATGCATTGTCTGCCAAGTCTTAAAGCATTTGTAATGTTAACTCCTCCCACTTTCAAGCTGTCTACTATAAGAAGAGCTACTTAGTGAAGGTCATATGCTAAAAAATGAAAGAAAAAAAAGGAATTAATCTTGAGATCCATAGTTAATCTGTTTTGATACCCTCACTCCCTTCATGGAAACTAAATGGATATAAGATAGCAGATCAGTCTTGGAATCATGGTGGACATAGCTGCATGGAGTATGTACTGACTGTGTGCTCTTATTGGACCTCTCGCCTTAAGAGGGCAACCTTTGGATTTAAACGTCATTGTTTGAGGCCAATGGATGCAATAGCCCCTAGTTACCAAGAGGGTAAGGTGTGGTGGACCATCTCTCCATAGTAGGCGTGCACAGTAACAAACTGCTCCGTAATGGGCTTTGTTAAATTGGGAGGATTTTTTTATCAGCCCTTCATTTTCATTTAAAATAATGTGAATGATATACTGGGTGAGTCCACCATTAAATGTACATTTAGGTTTAATTTAATTTATACCATCGGTAAAATTGATGCTCAAGGCCCATAATTTAGTTTTAAGTCGGATCAAAGAAATTTCATTCCTTAAATGCTGCTAAAGAGGAGATCAGCCTATGTGGAGGAGGCTCAAAGAGTGAGCTTCCACATGTTCAACCAACTTTGCACCAGGAAATAAGTTTTAAGTAGGTACTTCAAAAAATTTATGAAATGTTTACTACCATTTTTACTTATTTGTCCCTGCAGGTGGTAGAAGGTGTGGTGAAGAGCATTGAAGCTCAGGTTGTTGAAATTGAATCTGACCTAGAGGCAAGAGGGTCAGAGATGAGTGAAGAAGTCCGTGGAAAGGTGCTAGCAGCTATTGGAAAGGCTCGTCTCCTCGTATCTCAGAAGATTCGACAATTCCAAGGCCTTTGTCACAAGAATATTGTAAGTACTGTACTGTTAATGTTCTCTAATTCATTGCATATGGACTATTAAATGTCATTCTGGATTGCCAAAGCCTTCTTGTCAGCACTGGTGTCATAGATTTCTTTCATCAACCTTTAACCATCCATCTATTTCAATTTGTTCCTTAGTTGTTATGCCTTATAAATCCAGGATTTTAATTAATTGCAGTACACATTACCTGTATGTCTTTCATGCTCCCAAAGCCCCAAGGATGCCTTCACAAGCAAGCTCTGTCTATGCCATAGATTTCACTTTTTAACTTCACTTCTTATAATTTTTAATACTGAGTTATCGCCGCTGGCTTCAGCTACAGTAATGGCATTTGCTGCCATCAGCACCTCCACTCAGCACCGAGTGCCTCCCAGCACCTCGACCAATGTGTCTGGCGGGTTTCAATCATTACCTTCGACTTGCCCGTCACCCGACCGTCCTTATCTACGGCGGTTACACTTTGTATTTTAATTAACTTCGAGTATTTAACATGTAGGTAAACATTTATACAGAATTTACCTTTTGTAGGTAGAGTATTGATTACCCATGTCTCAAAACTTCAAAAATCTCAAAATTTTAACTCCTCCATAAAAGGCTCCCATTTTTTTGTTTTAAAAATAAATAAATATATATATATATATATATATATATATATATATATATATATATATATATATATATATATATATATATATATATATATATATATATATATATATATATATATATATATATATATATATATATATATATAATCATTGAGAATTTAATTAATATAAAACAGTACTCTTATGCCAGGTTATTAGTATTAGGAAACAACTGCAAGTACTGAACATCCATAAATAAGATGAGTTTCTCTTTACATTACTGTACTGTACAATATTCATTACCATATGTGCATTTAGATAGGGAATGAGGGAAGAGGGAAACCCTCCCATTAATGGAATCCTCCCAATACCAGACAGGGCTTACATGGGAGGATTAACTGTATCTCTTATGTAAGGTATTAATGTTTAAAAATAAAGATTTATTCATCATGCTTGACTTCACCTATACCAAGGACATTTAGACAAACCATCCTTCTAGGGCTCTGCTTGAGGTGGTGTTCTGCCATATGGGACCACAAGTTTCAACTTGTTGGATGTGTGGGTAAATTTGACAACTATCAATGAAAAAAAAAAAAAATGCCGAGTTACTGAGGCGGCAGCAAGATGGCATTGCCAGTTCTGTGCAGAACTCCCAACAATTGAAATTATTGTTTGCCTAATTTTTTAATATCCAAACTATTATTTAGAGTTGAAATTCTGCAAGGTGTGTTTCATTATTAAGTTCCAAAGTACTGTACTATAGGGGAATTATGTAAAGACAACCCCTGTCTGGTCAGGTCTGAATTGGGTCAAAAGGGAAATTTACTAAATATTCTTTTTTCAATTTTGTTTTAGTCTGGAACTATAGGGGAAGAGTTCCCAACAACCTGTCAAGATTTAGCTGGTTTTTGGGACATGGTATCTATCCAAGTTGAGGACATCAGGAATTCCATACAAGAAATTGTTGTACTACGCACCAATGGGTGGAAGGAGGTAAGTGATATTATTCTATATTTTTTATAGAAATGTATATGTAAAGTTTTTTCTGTGGCTTTAATAAAACCGATAATAGTAATGCTTACATTATATTTTATTCATAAGAATCGGTATTGTTTGTTTAATCTTTTCTCAATATGTAATTTTTTTTAAGTTTCTTTATTTAGTTAATATTCTGCAACTTTAAGTAATAGTCAACATTGTTTATTAATTTCATTTTATGCATGTTCTTACTTTTGGAATTTCTTCGTCTTTTCTCAGGTAAACCAAATAGATACCATTGACGGGGCCAACAGAAATGTTACCACTGGTCATGCCCGTCGAAAACCTGCACCTAGACCCTCCAGACCTGCAAAATTTACAAAAGGTAGTGCAGAGAAAACCGAGGAAGGAAAAAGTAGAGATGAAGCCCGCAAGAAAATGATGGAGGAAAGACGAAAGGCTATGAAGGAAGCAATGAAAGCCAAAAAAGCAGAGGCTGAAGCAAGAAAGGCAGAACAGGATGATGAGGCCCCAGTGGAAATTTTCGTTCCTGACAGCAAGTAGAGTATTATGGAAGTTATTAGATGTTTGAAATCCCCAAGTGTATGATGTGTGATAGATATGTAAATTCATGATGACATTGATACTTTGACAAGGAAACTTAATTGGTAGTATTCCTTTAAACCTGGTCATGTTGGTGTGCTACAAGTGTTAGCTCTAATGGCTGTAGACTAAATGAATAAGTCTGGTGCAGTACAGTGGAAGATTTACGCTGACTTATGAACTTACTCTGTGTAGGTGATGGGTCCAGAAAAGTTAAGGGGTTCGCGAGAACCTGTTCCATTTTGTAAGTTGACTTAAATTCCTGCAATGAAATTATTATCTAGTAAGCCATAATATTGACAATGATTGTTATGTGGTAGATTTAAGATATTGTTAACAAGTGAAGAAAATGTCACACAAAGGTAGGGAAAGGCAGGACACTTGCTATTAATGGGAAACACTCTTGACTATTTCCCAGTACAACTTGTTCATGTTGTTACTGGCCTGTGCCAGTTTTTTTCCAGTATCCTTTCGATTGTAGTGATGCTGTCTTAGAACAAACAGTGCTGTTATTAGGTTTTGTCTCAAATTTTAAAGTTATAAAATGTATCTAATATTGTAAATCATTTTAATCGCACTTACATTCCCAAGTACTGTATTCAAGCTTCAGTAATATCTCGTGAACCAATTTCTTTTGAGTGAGGTGGTGTATATAGCAAAGGAAGTTTTATGGGTTATATCTTTATTTTGGAACTTAGATGATATATACAGAATAAAGTTAGAGAGGTCCTGCTTGTGTGAAGGTAAATTAAGAGTACTGTATCAAATTTTATATAACTGTTTACCCTAATTGTAAATTTCAAAGCAATATAACGAGTTTCCCTAAGTCATATGTTTTCATTTTTTAATGAAATATTATAATTGGGCCTGCATAAAATATATAAGGGATTATGTCCCCTGCTTATGACCTGAATTTGCACATTTCAACTCGACGCCCAGCATTATCTGTCTGTACTCGATGAACTTATGTTATCCTCCAAATACCTCTCCTTTTTTATACCTTGTCACTTTCTTTTGTGTATTTTATTATTAAAATTATTATTACTGGAAAAGTAGTAAAAATTTTGTACAGCCACCAATTAATTTTACTTTGCTGTACTCACCTACCTAATCACTGGAAATCTGCATTTGTTCCTTTAAATAATGGCATTGCAGTAACCTGCTTTCTTCATGTTTGTTATGTATTGAAAAGCATTCAAGATTTAATTACAATTGCATAAAAGACCTCATAATCCAAAGGGACATTTCTCTCCTGTTTATTTTTTATTTTACCATGTACAGTATATAATTTTATATTTGTATGTCAAGTTCATTTTCAGTAATTTTAAAATTTAGCACCATTATGAATATTTAAACTAGGGTTTTTTATTTGCTGATGTGTATTTCACATTTGTAATAATGTTTTGCACTATTTTTATCATGCATATGTATTGTGTACTGTATTTATCTGCTATTTATTGTTGGCTTTAAACTGAATGATGATATCTTCTTGAAGCAGCCCTGTAGCACTTGCCTACATTGTCTTATCCATGAGGTATATGTTTTTATAATCAATTAAAATATTCCTAATAGACTGAACAGTCCAGAGAGTGGTGATTCCGAGTATCATACACACTTGTAAATGAATTGCAAGATTTTACCTCAAATTTATAAAAGCAGTGTGCTGACCCTAGCTAGATTTGCATTAGAATACAGGTGCAGTTGTAAACTGATTGTTGTTGTTTACTTCTTTTTGTATAGGAAGAATTTTTTTACTTATAATGAATGATGACATTAGAAATGTGCCTTGTATCTGCTTCCCATGTGAACTTTTAAGTATGGTAAATGTTTTTACAGAATGCATTATTATCTGAGTTCATCATTGTGTGCAGTACCCTGTAATTAGGCAGCTGTTGATGTTTAAACTTTTATATACCAAAATGTTAACATTTTATTAACCAACTGAAAGTAAATATTGAAATGTATATAATGGGTCAGTAAAGTTTGAGAATGAATAAAAAAAAATATATATATATATGATTGTTTACAGTGCCCCTACATTGACAAGAATTCTAGTACCAGCAGCTTGATGTACTGTACTGTATTGTCATAAACCTTTTTACACACAATTTGAGATTCGTAATCTCCAAGCCTTTGTTCAAAAGTGTATATCGTGGCTTTTATATGTTGCAAGCCTAGGGGGCACCGGTGGGTAAAACGGTACCGCTCTTGCCTCGCAAGCGAGATGTCACGGGTTCGATTCCCGGGCCGGTGGAAAGTTGTTCGGACACACTTCCCAGCCTCCCTTGGTCCCTGTTCACGTAGCAGCAAAGTAGGTACCTGCTGTAAATCGAAAGTTGTGAATTCGTATTCAGGGACAAGTTGTTGGAGCTTCCAATAACTTGCTTAGACATAAACCATTGACTCTTCTGGCTTCTATGCCCTTAACTCATGAGACATAAAGGCAAGCATGAACTTGGCGATGTAAACGCTTCTGCGCTTCACCTTGCACAAGGATGTAGGGGGTGCCCCAAAAAAAATAAAAAATTGTATGCCTATTCCACAGGCAACTTCAGGAAAAAGAGTGATCACAAGTACTTGAATATGGGAAGTACAGGGGCCAGAAGATGTTAGGTTATGATAGTTATAGGAAGAGTGATTGAGAAATTTATATGCAAGATAAACTAAATGGTTTGGATTTATGCCAGGTGAGGGGGGAGCTACAGAGGCAATACATTATGACTAGGCAGCTACACAAAAGAGATCTAAATTAAAAGAAAAGTTTAGTCCATATTTGTAGAATTGAGAAGGCATTTGACAAGATAACACATGAAGTACCGGTAGTATAGAAGGCAATGAGAGAGTTAGGTGTACCTGCAGTCGTTTTTTTAGCTGATGGTAATAGGCACACTAGCTCCCCATAAAGTTCTTCAATGACATCTTTACATGAATACAATGTGTTTATACTTGATTCTACTCGTTATAAAACTCATTGCAGTACTGCTTTGTCCACTGTTTTATAGATTTGGTGTCATGTGTCTTGATATATATAATAAATAATGATAAGAAGTAGTGGTGAATGAGTTCTCCGAAAGTGAGCCAGAATTAGGTATCCTAAACAGCTTTTTATGAGCTGTAATGGGGGCGAGGCTTGTACCATCAGCTAAAAAATACAGCTATAGTTTGAGTGGTTTTGGCATATGAGGGCTCAAATAACTTGAGGAATTTTAGGCAAATGTAGGGGGTCTGTCTTGAGCCCCTTCTGTTTATCATAGTGTTGGAGGCAATGACTTGGTGCTAATAGCAGATAGTATTGATGAGGCTGTGGAGAAATTTAGAAATGGAAGTACTGTACAGATTAGTCAAAGGGCCTGAGAGAATGGCAAAAACAATTGATTACTGGTGAGGGACCCGTGGTTAAAAGTGAAAAATGGCTATGTGCTATGTAAGAATGTTGGCAGCAAGTCATAATGTACAATGAGTGGAGTGGATGGCAGACTACTGGATGTCACTGAACTCCCGCCACACAGACAGGCTTCCTGACACTATCCTGTGCCAGCTTCACACTCAGAAACTCCCTGCAGAAGTTTGTCTCGTCCTCTCGGCATTGGACTACTCTACTACCTCGGCGACCTATGCAGCCACGGCAGACAGAGTATTCCATGAATACCATGCTGTGCGCCAATGTGCCACGAACAAACCATCACTTAGCTTCGGTCTCGTCAACCAGATCAACGCTCCTCAGAGAAGTAGTATTCCACCAGACACACAAGATTTGAGGGACATGCTAAAGTCTTTACACCGCAGAATGGACTCCCTCGAGCAGCTCTGCTCCTCCATTCCTGCTGCTGCTCCTGTACCTGCCCCACGCACTGTGTCCTACCGACCCCAACATCCCCGTCCTGCCTCAGACCCCGCCGCCAGCCCCCAGCATAGTGTATCTACCTTCTGTTGGTACCATCAACGTTTTGGTGCTAACGCTAGACGCTGTGAGGCTCCCTGCAACTACACGAGGAAGCGACATCGACAGGGATTGGTAGACGCCATAACCTCCGTCACTATCAAGCAGCACATCACACGCCTTACTTCTGACCTTGCATTCAAGGCTACTGCCCCACGCCAGCCTTCCCATCGCCCTGAACACATTCATCCCGCACCTCCTTCGCCTGTCTGCCCACAATTGCCACTTGCAGCACCACCTCGCCCACAACATTTCTACATACCCTCTTTTCATCCTCAGGTACCTACTGCTCCTGACGTGGACCCTGCTCCTGCATCCGGCCCTAATGACCCAGATACCCCACCCGGCACCCCTGAGGACAATGCACATGCCGCGAGAGAAGCACCACATTCCTTGCCAGTACAACCTTCTCTTATCCACAACCCTCCTTCTCCCTCTGCTTCTCCCACAGATCTCGTCCCAAAACAGAGTAATCACCCGTAGCGGCCGAGTGGTCCACATCCCCGCCCTTTATGTCTCGCATGTGGAATACAACCCTGCCGACAAGTTTTCTGCAGCGCTCGGACGGGAGGGGGAGTATTGTAGTGGATACTCTCCCCTACAACTGCCACTACCGTTAGTCGCTGATCAGCCGATCCCGCGAAGAATTTTCTCTGACAGGCCTAGCCGCCTAGACTCGCGTCAAGTTTCTCTGACAAGTCTAGTGCCCGTATTATTAAACAACATCTTTCCTTGAAGAGAGTCGTCGTGTTTCAACCCGAGTTTTAAACTAAATGAGTCCTGAGGGACACCACAGTACAGTACTTGACGGGGTGGTGTGGCGGTAAACTTAACTAATTCCAATAAAATTAATTTATAATATTGGAATTACTGTAGTTAATTTTACCGCCAAGCCACCCAGTTAAGTACTGTACTGCGGTGTCCCTCAGGACTCATTTACTCGGGTTATATATATATATATATATATATATATATATATATATATATATATATATATATATAAAGAAAACGCCTGTGGGGTACGGAATATTTGGTTCACACTCAGGATGGGATGTAGAAAGGATACTCACAATGTGCTCTCTGTATGCATATTGTATTGGATGTACAGTGCAGCTTGGTGCTGGGAAGTGGCAGCGTGGTTACAAGCGTGTAGAGAGAGCTGGTTGGTGAGGATGCTCAGAGGAGGACCAGCTTGTGGGTCGCCATGGTCGCTGGCGGGAGCGAGGGCCGCCAGGCAGGAGGAGGGGGTGTTGCTTGCTGGTTGGTGTAGGTAGAAAGAGATAGGTCACCACGAGGTCAGGTCTTATATAGCGGAGGTAGGCGTGGCTTAATAGTTGACCTCCGTCATGTAAGGCGGCGCTGGTTGACCTAGACCACGAGGCATACACTGGGGAATTCGCGGGGTCGGCTACTCAGCGACAAACAGCGTTTGTAGGGGAGGATTGAGGAATCCACTACACACCATTGTGAGTTTTCTTTCTCACCTCCATCCTGAGTGCGAGATCTCCCTTATTGTACGTGTATGTGGCCATAACAAAGAGAATTGACACGCACAAAGAGAAATTAGACAACTGGTCACATACACTACGCTACAACGCCCCCGTTCCTACCCTACTTCCCAACCCATAATCTGCCTGTCACTTCATGATGATGATAATGATACTGTAGTAATATTTACAATGGCATTGGTAGAAATATTACAATAATTCAATTATTAATAATAACAATGATAATAAATGCGCTTTTATTAGGGTTGTATTTGGTTTGTCGTACATGTGCGTGTGTGTTCACAACTTTAAAAAATAGGATTATGACAAGTATATAGCATTATTATCATTTTCGTCTATTTTCATGTAAATAACAATTACAAACACAACAAACAATTGTTTATAAACCCCGTCCACCGATGACGTCATTACCAGGACCACAAAACACATCTCGAACGAAACTCCGAGTCAGCCCTCGAACATTGAACTAATTCCCCCATTAATATACTTAAAGTAGTACAGTAATTAAGCTTTATTAAGTTAAGTGGTTCATTATTACAAAAATATATTTTCTCGTTAGTGGTTCAGTGATAGTGTTTATAGCTACCTACGTTAGTAGGTCGAGGCCTAATTTACACGTCTCGAATCCTCACATTGAACTTGTGAGTGATAGTGTTGGAGTCGACAGTCGACACACCATGACGCCAGCCAGCCTCGGCCCTCAAGTCGGTCAATCAGGACCCAACGAGGTCTTTCAGTCACTGTGTACACTGTTCAGTACCGCTGCTGCTGACTTTTGCTGGCTGACGTCTCCTGATATAAGCTAGCTTGCCTCACTATATCCTGTTGCTGGTGACTACTAGCTGAAGACGGCTGCTGATGGGGGTACTTCAGGCTGACAGCTGCTGATGGGGTCCTGCTGGCTGCTGATGACTCTGCTGAAGGTGCACTGTCGACTGACAAGTAAAGTTGCACTAAAATTTTTTTAGTGTTCATTTATTCCGATATATTTCAGGTGTACTTTGTTTGCGCGAGTTAACCTTACCGCTATGGCATCCCAAAGATAGTACAATCTGTACTTACTGTACAATTTTATACAAGTATCCAGAACAGATTTAAATTAGAGATGCATACCTTAATTGGCGTAACTAAAATATTTCTAGTTTACATTCTTCTGTAACGGTAAACTTGTCACTGTACATCTTACCAAGGGATTTTTGGTAAACTCTTAATATATAATCTAAATCAGTTGGGAACGATCGATGCTTTGATGTACTATACTATACTTTGAAAATGGGGTATAGGCCGTGGTCTCCGGGGACTTAGGGAATGTATATACAGTACTGTAATCACTAAACGGTTTGATGTCACAACGAACGAACCACTGACTACTGCTGAAATAAGTACCCGTATTGATTACTAAACGGTTATTGTTTTTGTTTTTTTCAATATACTAAAGACGCTGGGCCTACGGTACTTGTAGTTTTCTTCTTAAATTCAAAGTAATATTTTCTTTGCCCCCCTCAAGCTATTTGTGTAGGAAACGATGTACTTGTGAGAATCAGGTGTTTTAATGTTATAAATCTG